TTGTGTAACTAAAACCCATCACTTCAATGTTTTGACCTGTCATTTGTTGTGAAAATTAATTAAATCGTGAGCGACTTGTGTGAACTGAGGACTTGGACACAAAATAAAATGCTGAAAACAGCCTGTCACAAATGATTGAGTTTCCAAGGTCTACATGTGTCCACATAAAAAGAAGGAATAAACAGAGTGTCTTGAATCTGTACAACATGGTTGCCAAAAGCAATAGCACAAACTGCTGTCAATTCAATGTTTTATGTCTGACTTTCGTTAACAAAATTGATTAAACCATGAGTTTCCAGAACTGCCCTTCACAGGAATCTTACATTAGGAATGCAAAGAAAGGGTTTCACACAGAACTTCTTACACAGGAATACAGTGAAGGCCCACATACACATGTACCTTGTGTCCACATGATCAAAGTCACATGGACATGGGACAGAAACTCTCTAAACATTATATAATACTTCAGTTTTTGATTCATATATTTAAACACCACCTCTGAAGGAGAACTCTCGGAAATGTTTAGGAAACTTAATATTTTACATGCTTCAAGACAAACCAAACAGCATGGCTGATAGCACCATTTCAATAACACTGCTCTTTACAAAGTTAGATTCCAACTTCTCACACTGTGAGAAAAAGAGGAAATTGAACATATTAAATATAAATAGTACTTAGCATTCTACAAGAGTTTTACATCTTCCTATCTGGTCTCCTTGTTTGTGTCACTTCCCTTGGCAATGCTTTCAAAGGATGAAACCTGTCACTGTCACCATCTTCCACTTCTTCCCCTCCTTCATCACACAGGTGCACCACAATGCTAGGTGCATCTTCAGCTGAGATGTGTAGCTGGTAAGGCTGTGAGGTGTCCAAGCTGGCTACTGCAGCAAGCAGATCATAGTTGATCACAGGGTGGGACTCTGTAGTTTGTTCCCAGCCAACAGGAGGAGAAGCAGGAGGGGATATCAAGAACTGCTTTGTTAGAGGTGGAGGTTTGAGATTAGAGTTGTTGTTAAGAGAGGAACGTCTCTGCAAAACAATACAACTTTACCAATAAGTCAATGTCAAGCATCTTGTGTTCCACATTTTCAATACCATAAATAACTGTTAGTAGATCTTTGATTTCATCATTACCTTTCTAAATGAAACCATACATCAATGTATTTAAAAACACCTTAAGTAAGGTCCTTTGTTATCGATTTTAATGCTGTTTTAATTGACATAATATTGGCCTTCACTATTTGAATCTTTCCAAGAAGGGTAAGAAGATAATATTGTATACAAATATCATTTTTTTTAAATGAGGGGAAAAAAAGTTGCCAGAAGCAATTTGCACTCCTGGATGAGAGTTCAGCACTATCATAAAAGTGCCTTGTGTAAGTTAGAGCACATTGCAGTGTCACCAACCAGGGATTAATGAGGCACTATTGTCTGAGAGAGATTTCCAGGAGTTTTGGTTTAATCTGTGCTAAAATTATGCAAGTTGTCCCTAAAAGGCCATGGGTTGCATACAACCTGTAGCAGGTGAATTGCTTAAGGGAAAGCAAAGTAATTCACATAATTTATTGCATACTTATTGCATAATCTACCCCAAAAATTTAGCATAATTTACTGGGTTTTTTTTTATTGCACCCTTTCAGATAGCCAGACTTACGTTGGCACTTAGGGAAATTGTTGGGGTAATTAACGCATTTTTGTGTTTGAATCAGTAGAATTCTACTTATTACCTTTTTTTAGGGTCAAGAAGGTAAACTTTGTGATCTCCCAGATTTCAACTTATTTAGGCTGGCATCTCTAATGTCTTTAGATCCAGAGCTTAACAATTACACTCCTGTGCAATAACGCTGAAAACAAAGAGTGTTTTTCTATAGTCTAAAAAAAACCATGTGAAAAATCACCTGTACAAGAAAGACACCAAGTTCATAACCCAGGAATAGCTGCCCATGCAAATCTTTCTTAGCTTCTTTAGCATTCTCTTCCTTGTTAAATGTAACCCTTGCTCTGTGGAAAGTCCTCAAGTAGATGAAGCTTTTTTCATCACTTCCATAAGGAGAAAATAACTTTTCAAATAATTCCTGAAAGAGAAAAACGGTCACAATATCATGATAATACCAGGGTTTTCAATTGGGAGTCAAAATTAATTAAATAATAAATATTATTACTTTTGTTTTGGTTTTGGTGTTACTATGGTTTGAGATAGAGCAGTTTTCAACTGAGTGTCCTAAAACAAAAACCCAAAGTAATCGCTCTAGCCAATCACAAAGGCCATTAACATTACAGTGAGCCAATGAAAACTTGAAGTAATTACATGTAGCTGACGCAAGCGCGGGAAAACGTGTGTGAACAAATTACCATTGGTTTTGGTTTTACTTCTGATTGGAAGAAAAATTGGCGTGAGGTTTTTAGGCCAATCCTGTAGCATAGTAAGTGCAAAACCAATTACTTTTTGACACTCAAATAAAAATCACTCTAATTTGGCTGAGTAGTCTAACTGGTAAGTTATTGATTTGGTTTTGGTTTTACAGCACTCAAGTGAAAACTGCTCTATGATATTCAATCAGATTGATAAACATCAACCACAATGACATCAAGAACTAACAAGACTTTGTGAACAATGTATTTTTGCGATATGGGATTTTAACTCATGTACATTAGTCCTAACACAATTAAGTACAGTCTCAGTTTAAAAACTGAAGTCAGCAGTTCCTTTTCAAGTTTGCCATTTCTGTTTATGTAAGTGTCCAGGAATGAGTGATCTCAGGAATGAATGATCTCCTGAAATAGTGTGTGCATTGGATTGACTGATGGCAAGGTCGAGAGGAAAAGAAAAACCAGTATCATGGTATTGTGTTTCTAAGACTACACTGCTCTCAGTGCTATGGATTAAAATGCTGCTCATAATTCTATGCAGTGAAACAACGCTTTAATTTATTTACCTGTGAAAGTCACACATGCATGTAGACAATTCTCTACAACTCTTTAGAATGCAACATTGCAAATTTGTATCTCATATGTAATAGCACTGATTTAGTTTGTACACACATTTCCACATCCAATTAATCACTTGGTTTTAATAAATAATTATTTCTGACTTCTAGTTCATTCTACTCAAATTTGCCCAATTTTCCTTATATTTCTCCAACCATAAATGATAATATTCGCTTACATGTATGTAAAATGGTGAAACGTTCTGCTTAAAAAAATCCTCTCTCTATCTGCTGTGATACTTGCTACCATAAATGGCAAAAAATGACCTAAAATTCTACTCAATCATCTGTCAGTAGAATTTATCGAAGGCAAAACGAGAAAATATTAGGGGGATGGGGAGAGTACTCATTGTAAGGACTTGTAACTGAAAGGGAATGTTTGGCATTTATACTCTAAGGAAAAGAAAGCTACTTTCTAACAAAGTCCGTCTCACTAAATTAGGCTTATTATACAACCAAACTTAAATGTGCATGTCCTAATAAGCTTATTTAATTGATTTATATTCTTACGTTAACTCAAAACTTAAAATGAACTTTAACTATGAGCATCTCTCACCACCCGCTTACCTTCATTTTGACTATTATGTACGTGTTTATATATTAAATTTCACACTTCTTTAAGACCAGTCTTTGAAATGGAATCCAAGTTATTCGCAGTTCATGTTTTCGAAAGACGCATATTCCACGAAATACCACAGTTACTTTAGCCGGGAAAACGCAGCTCAATCGAAGAAATTTTGACCGGTTTTGTTTACCAAAAAGCCACCAACTTAAAACCATTAAGCAGCTTGAAAAGGGGAGCTCTAGCAACGACTGGACAAGGCACTGCTAATAAACTCTCTACATACCTTCGTATTTTCGTCGTCAAAAACATCATTTGGCAAATTAGTCACCGAAACACTCCACAATAGTTCCTCGTCACCTTCGCCATGGCTGTCTGGAGGACATGATGTCTCTATGTTTTCTACATACGGCTTCATTCTGAAGACAACCAAATCACTTTCTACACAAAAAATCCAATGACGAAATATGAAGTCATACGCAGTATGAACTCATGAAATAGGTTCTCCACATCGAAAGAATTTCGCAAATTTTACGCCATATATGTCTTCTGCTCTTGACAGCTACGATTGAGCAGCTGAGCGCGCATGGCTCGCTGGGATTGTTCAGCAAATGAGAGCTCCGAAGCGACTTGAACAAACAGGAATTTTTTTGTCAATAGCGTTTTAATATCATTAATAGAGGTCATTCATTCCTGGTTAACTGCTTTCTTGAAATAAACTGATTGCTATACAATAAATAATGCATAATTTCAAGTGCAAAATTTATCCTTTCCAAAGATAAAGTCCATCAAGCGTGGCTGCATATTTCACAACAATTCTGTTAGAGAAGATTGCGTGACATTACATTGTAAAATAGTTTCCAATTAACAAATCGAATGTGGTTTAGCGTGGTCTGTACTCTATCGACAACGAGTACGCGTCATTACTCTTTTCCCAAACATTTTTTTTTCTTATTGTTTCTGCATGTTGAGCGAGTTTGCAAAAGTGTTTGAAAGGAAAGTCTGACGCGTACAAATAGCTCATTTACATAGTGCAGCGCGTGCACTTTCAAGTCCGAGTCGTTGTTTTCAATTGTCATCAAATCTTGACAAAGATTTCTTTCGTAATCTTTGATATTGCGGTTAAAAACAAATCGAATGTGGTTTAGCGTGGTCTGTACTCTTATCCACTCTTATCGAGTGGACTCGGCTGCGCCTCGTGAGTCGACATCATTTTGACCACTATGATGACGCGTACTCGTTTTTTACCACAGTATCAACGTCAAAGCCGGAGTGAAAATGTTTTTTTTTTTAATTTTTTTTTTAGAGCGCGAGCTGAAAAAGGCATTACGCGACACATTGACGCGAGCAGCGTGGTATGGACTCTTATCGACAACGGCAAATTAGCCAATTAGATTGCGAGATTAGCAGCAATTGTGGTAAAAAGTAACCTTACTGAAGCGCACCAAATAGGGGGGAAAATGAAAACGAGCAATCAACTTTCCGGGAGATGGTGATATGTCAGTATACTATTTTTATGATTGACCCTCTGAGCGGAAAACCTGTTTTTGCGGATCCGAATAAGCAAGG